GCAGTGGGAGTTTTGCTGCTGCATCACTAATGACAGAGATTTTACATAAGGTTTATATTTCGTGACCTTCAGAGATATGCACGAGCTACTACTTTCATCCGTCAGGCTACTCTCTATTACGAGACTTAACAAAATTCATCACTGAGAACAAAGATTCACAATTATAAATGGAAGATTATAAGAGAGGGTTTCGCGTGCCAGCAAAAGTTACTGGCATGCCATGTTTGGCACGCGTGCCAGGGGTTGCCCAGCCCTGCTCTAGGTCTTCACTGCCCATTCATGTTCAGCTGCCGCTAGGTTCTGGGTGGCTTTTAACGCCAGGGAAAAGGAGTGTCCGCTACGGCTGCCTTCAAGGCCCATCCATCGCTCCTGCGATTGAGACTTTTCTTTCCATCTCTGGTCCTGTGGAGACTCTTGCTAGCTGCACGCTGCCCTGCGTGGTGCTGCTGCTATGACAGGCGGCCTGTGCGGGTCCCAGCCTGGGTCTGGCTGCCATTCACTAGATGCCAGACCACACTTTGAACCTTGATTGGCACATTACACGTGTCCTGAAAGGTTGTTAGCTATTTTTCTAAAGTCACAAGTTCCAAGAATACCCTTAGTTCGATAAAGCAGGAGAAACTGTATCAGAATATCATTTCCAAAAGTCTCTCCAGTTAGTGACCCAGTGTCTGTGTGACTCCATTTGGGACTCCCCTGGACGTGGTCTTTAGAAATGTAAATGTGAAGGCCCGCGTTCTCGGTTTCTGAAGCCTCGATCCCTGTTAAAAATCGGGGTTTTAATCCATCAAAAATTGACTGAACGTTCCCGGTCCTTGACCCGGAGCCGCGCGGCGCTAACATGCTTGTCCCTTCCCAGCTGTACCTGGGTGTGGTGCTGTCTGCTGTCGTCATCATCACTGGCTGTTTCTCCTACTACCAAGAAGCTAAGAGCTCAAAGATCATGGAATCCTTCAAAAACATGGTTCCGCAGGTACCGGCTGCTTCCTCCTGTCCCTTGGTGGGGTGACTCAGCCCAGGAATGTGAGCTTGTGTGAAGGTCAGGTTTCCCTAAGAATTCAGTGAATACGGGAGAGGGGGTGCTTCACCTCCCACCCCAGACGGGCCTGTCTTCCCTCTGAGTGGACGGAGGGGGAGCAGGTACCACGGGAAGGAGAGGACCAGCTCTTAGCTGTTGAGCGAGCTTTTGTCATTTGGACAAATAAAAAGGTTGATGTCTTTGTTAGTGCGAATAAAAATGATATCTGTTATGCATTAGGATGATTAGAATTACAGATCATTGGGTAGCTTGATATATATATATTTTTTTTTTACACGACCTCCCTGTTGGTGTCACGTTTGTCTGATTTAACGGTGTAAACTGTTCCCCTCCCAAAGCAAGCCCTGGTGATCCGCAACGGTGAGAAGATGAGCATCAACGCGGAGGAGGTGGTGGTTGGGGACCTGGTCGAAGTGAAAGGCGGGGATCGGATCCCTGCTGACCTCAGGATCATTTCTGCCAACGGCTGCAAGGTAGGCTGGCACAGGCCCTGCTGTGTGGGCATCGGGCGCGGGACAGCCCACGGCCGGCCTGCGCCCTCACGGCACTGACTCCCGTCCTCGCCGACAGGTGGATAACTCCTCGCTGACCGGGGAGTCGGAGCCCCAGACCAGGTCTCCCGACTTCACACACGAAAACCCCCTGGAGACGAGGAACATTGCCTTCTTTTCCACCAACTGCGTTGAAGGTAGACCACGGGAGGCACCGTTGGCACGGGGCGGCGCTTGTTTTAGTCGTTAGCAACAAAAACAAAACAAAAAAATATATATCCCGGACACGGTTTTCTGTTTTCATGTTATTGGCTCCGTTTCTGGCCACTTCGGTCAAGCGCGAGAGAGAGGGGGGGGGAGGGAGGAAGGAACCTGGGATTGAGCCTGCAACCCGGGCATGTGCCCTGACCAGGAATCGAACCCTGACCTCCTGATTCATAGGTTGATGCTCAACCACTGAGCCACGCCGGCTGGGCAAAGTGTGTGTTTCTGTCTTCAACCATGCCAGGTCCCTGCAAATGCTGTGGCTTCTCTGATAACCTCTGTGCAATCCCTTCCCCCCTCCAGGCACTGCCCGCGGCATCGTCGTGTACACCGGGGACCGCACCGTCATGGGGAGGATCGCCACGCTGGCCTCTGGGCTGGAAGGCGGCCAGACGCCCATCGCTGCGGAAATCGAACATTTCATCCACCTCATCACGGGGGTGGCCGTGTTCCTGGGGGTGTCCTTCTTCATCCTCTCCCTGATCCTCGAATACACCTGGCTCGAGGCCGTCATCTTCCTCATCGGAATCATTGTCGCCAATGTGCCCGAAGGTCTGCTGGCCACCGTCACGGTACGAGGCTGTCGTGCTGGGTCGGGTCGGGTCGGCTCAGGTCAGCCCCCAAGAGTGTGAGGCTCAGCCACCCCCCGTCCTGGGGGCCACCCGTTAGGTTTTACTGCACACGTTGGTGTAGGGATTTTCTCCGGAGCCACATGGCGGGCTTAGGCAGTGGGGGGATCTCGGGTGTTTTCATGTGGATGATGGTAATTCAGAAGCATGAATTTTGTTCTTGTGTTGTCACATGTTCCAGAACAGCCCAGCGGAGAAAGGAGAACCCGGGGTTCAGTGGGGGAACCGAATGTGCTAAGTCCTGGCTATTTTCGCTTTTCTTAATATCTTGCTTATTTGGGGGGAGGGAAAGCCCTCTCTACATGGCCCAGTTATTATCATTATTATTTTAAATATATTTTTATGATTTCAGAGAGAAAGGGAGAGAGACAGACAGAAACATCAAGGTGGAGAAAGAATCATTGATTGGCTGCCTCCTGCACGCCCCACACTGGGGATCAAGCCTGCAACTTGGGCATGTGCCCTTAACCGGAATCCAACCTGGGACCCTTCAGTCCCCAGGCCGACGCTCTGTCCACTGAGCCAAACCGGCCAGGGCTGGAACAAGTGTTAATTGTTCTGACTTCAGGGGAAGGTTGGAGAGCTAATCTTAGACACAGTTCCCCCTTCAGTCCAGGCTGACGCTCTGTCCACTGAGCCAAACCAGCCAGGGCTGGAACAAGTATTATTTGTTCCGACTTCAGAGGAAGGTTGGAGAGCTAATCTTAGACACAGTTCTGCGTTAGGGTGCGGCCACTGTTTTATAGTTCAACGCGGTTGAGGCCAAAGTAATCGGGTTCCTGATGCCTTGCAGGTGTGTCTGACCCTGACTGCCAAGCGCATGGCCCGGAAAAACTGCTTAGTGAAGAACCTGGAAGCCGTGGAGACTCTGGGGTCCACGTCCCTCAT